AAAATACAAAAAAAAAAAAAAAAAAAAAGGAAGATCTGAGACACGAACGTGAAAAAGAAGCGAGGAGAACAGCAGGGTTAAAGAATCTGAGAAGAGTATCTTCAAGTTCTTTGATTTTTGCCGATGGCTTGTGTTATCGAGCGGGAAAATTCACGGTAATCAATCGTTGGGCGCCTAAAACGTGGCTGCATTAACGTAGCAAAGAATTACGAAAGGTAAAGTGTTTTTTAAGGTAAACCGGCACGTTTCACTTTGTAGATGCCGGTGTTGAGTAGGCTTGGTAAAGGTACATACTCGAGCCGCATCGTCGCTCGTCCGAATCATGCCGTGAGTGACCAGTAAACGAAATGGCAACGAGTACTCTGTGTGCCGTGTACGTGGTATGATGCTATATAAATAATACTTGGCGCGAACCCTGATCAGTCGAGTTGCGGCGGCCGTACCTGTCGCAACACACAATAATGCATCGTACCATAACAAACTGAAACCGGTTGTCCTTTTTCACATCTTTCGCTGCTTCGCGTTCTCATTTACCTTAACCTTGTTCCGTACTTGCGTCGTGCGACTCTTATATATATATATATACATATATTTCTATTTTATTCTTTTTGACGCACCGCATCCAGGTGATATACTTCGTGTGTCTCTCTTTCCCTCTTTGTCTCTTCACCTTATTTCTCGGTGTGTACAGAAGAAGTGACCCACCAGAATGTCGCACGACAATTTCGGATTTACCTCGAGTACGGTGAGTGACACTATTTATATTTACTTTGCTCTCCTTGCTTATGTTTATCTTGTTTACGTAGGATGCTCGCACTAAATACATCGATTACGCACTGATATGCTTTGTCCTCCACGATATATGGATCGTTCTTTTTTAGCGGGGATTTATATTCAGATTGTATCGATATATAGTATAGGAAATTGTTAAAGGTCGATTAGGCGAATTGGCATTACTTTTAACTATGCCATGTGATGTACATTTTTTTCGAGACAATTGATATTTAAATCGTGGGTAGGGATAGAACAGAGATCTGTTATCCGCTGGGTGAATTGGCGGTATGATTCAATTCTTGTTTCATTCGATCCTTTTATCATTTGTATATCTGTGTTAATTAATGTCTAGGTGAGTAGAAATGGACATATTCGTTATAGATATATTAATATGACACATGTAATTCGATTGTAGTTCGATTACTTTCATTTCAGTTTGGGAAATTTTATTTTTCTATGGAGTATGAAGATTGTTTTCGTCTCGTCAATCTAATTGTTTAAAAATTGTACGATATACTGTGGTCAATATGAGTGACGCGTTTCACGTTTATTTCTTCTCTTCCTCTTTAGTAAAACTTTTCTTTGGGAGAAGAAAATTGGAATACGTTTTACATAACGAAATTTGTCATTTCATAAAATACGAAGAAACACAATAGTAAATTCGTAATGTACAAGGAAATATGTTTGTTGAATTATTTTAAAATTATATAGGTATACTTGTCAGAATTTTCAATCGTAAATAAATAGGAAAAACGTGATATTTTCATCATAATTTGTCACTATAATATTTTTCTTCTCCACAAGTATTAAAATTATCGTTCATTAATAAAAACACCATTTATTTTGTATTTCGTTCCAAATATTTTATTATACAATTCTATGATAATTCGTGCAATTTCACGTTCTAATCTATCTCGATTATAATGAAAATTGACTAATTTATGCGTTTCTGCTGTAGTATTTCAAGATTCTGTTTCTTCAAATACATCTAAAATATACAAAAATATATGAAAGAAGGTTATACAAAAAAAGATTAACATCAATTGAATATTCAAAATTCACCAAATACTGTAGATTTTTTGACGAAATTTTTCATCTTTCACATTCAAACAAGCAATAATACTAACGAAATGTTACTATACATGAAGTTAAAAATGTTTCGTATTAATATAGTATATCGTTCGACAAAATTAGTGAAACTATTAAAATATTCATTATTAGCCACTGCGTATTCGATTCCGCGGTTGCTATTAATCGAATGATCTCGAATATCATCGAAAAGGGAAAGTTCTTGTCTGAATGAAAAATTGTCCACATCGAAGGACAATATTGATCAGAACTATGTGACGTCAATGCTCGCAATACGCAGAGGAAATTCGTGATTTAAATTGAAGCAAGTTTTTTATGCTCGAGATCGGATCGAATTCCTCGACAAGTTTTTTTCTCCCGAGATTTCAGTCATTAGGATGTGAAATTCGATTGGAACTGTGAACCGCTTTTGTCGAAAGGTCAGTGAAACTGTGTCCTTCGTATCGAGATTACTATACTTTTTTATTCCTTTTTTTTGCGAGTTCCAATCTTCTTTTTGCGATTTATTAGATTTGTAGTTCCTGAACGAGAAAAAATTAAATAATTTCAGCCTGAAATCGACCGATCACATCGTGACTTATAACTTCTTCATTTGCAACAGTTGGTGGTTGATACTATATTGTCATACTTTTTTAGTATTACTTTCACTTTCTTTCTATGATTGTAATCGGTTTTACTGCTTGAAGATCGAATTTCTGTTTAAATTATGTCTAAAGATTCCGAATTTATTTGTTATTAATTTAGTAACATTTTGATGTTCTAAAATAAAAAATTACGACTAAGACTAAGAAAGGTTTCTAAATAAAAAAAGAATCTTTTTTCTAAAAATGTTGAAAATTTAAGATTTCTTTATCCAAGTAAAATTGTGAATTAATTATTACTTAATTAATTAATCAATTACACGATGTTACCGATATTTCTTCTGACAATAGAAAAGGGAAAAGTTTTTAACTCAAATATGACAAAACAAATGAATACTATTAGACAGACAAAAATGAAATGAATATTATTTATTGATCGGTAATATGCTTATTCACGTTGAACCAATTTCTTCGATTCAACAATTCACGTTATCACAGGTAATCGTTAGGATGATAAGTAAAAATTCGGTAATCCCGTAAATAGATCAGTGAACCTTATCCAAACAGAGGTCGTTACATTGTTGCACACATAGACGCGTGAATAAAAAAATTTATGTTAAGAATCGATAATCCCCGTGTTGATATTGTGGATTTAGGTATTAATGTGAGCAATTAGAATCATTGACAATAAGACGTTCGTGATATTTGAATTCGTTCTAATAACTGTAATATATATATATACATATAATTTGTGGAATTCAAATATCAGGGTATTTTTGCGCAATTCAACCAATATGTAAATAAATCTTTCAAATTACGAATCATCCGATTATTATACTATTCTGCTTAATACCGTAAAATTCTAATTAATGATAAAAGATTAAATACACCTAGAGATAGAATAGTTCAAGTAATTTCATAATAAGAAAAATGTCTAATGTTGGAATATCTGAAAATTAAAAAAACTGATAATTCGTATAATTTCGTAATCTGGAAGCTCTTAATACGAGAAGATCGGGGGCTCGAAAATCGGAAGACATTATCTAAGAATCAAAATTGAGGTTAATCTACGAACCGACAAATGTCATTGTATCATTCCCTCGTTAGAATTTTGCTTACCTCTATCTGATTCATAGCGTGCAAATCGTATACTTATGTACTTGACGTGTCGTTTTCCTTGAAGCGATTCGACAGCTTTTAGCAGGAGAATCGAGGAAAAATGGTTTCTGTCCTCTGGGAATCGACCTTAGTACCGTATCTCTGAGAGAGAAAAAAAATTATTGCCCTCAATAACAATACTGGCCGCGATATCAAATGTTTGTTACACTGATTACTCAGCTCCGTCATTTGGACTTGTTCGTCTTGTTTTCGTAGATCGTATTACCTGATAAGGGGGAGATCGTTCGAATGGAACTTTTTTAGGGAATGTTCCTATGATAATAACAGTTACGTGAGAAACTTAGAAATTTTCTCGCTGAGGTAAAGCAGTTGATCAAACGATTATTACAGATTGCATGTGAATTTTGTCGAGGCGTTAATATTCGATAGTAGGCGTTTTAAACGCAATTTTTCATTCGATTAGGTTCGCTACGACGACGAGAGGACGTCAAATTTCGCCTATCGTAATAATAGTGATTTATTAGAAGAGAAATGAAATTTTGATAGCAAATTTTGAATGCGGATTTTTATGCATTTATGCAAATTTAGAGATAAAAGAAAAAAAGAATGCAGAAAATGCGTATAATAAATAAAAATATACGAAATATCCAAAGTAGGGTAAGACGAAACGAATCTTCACGCAAGTTCCATCTTTTTGGTTGTGCCCACAACTAAATATAAATTTGCATAGAAATTCGCCGTCTAAATATTATCATCGATCATCGATGACACGATTATTATTTGCCAGAATTCAAATATTTGTCTTGGATTTTCTAATGAAAAGTACACACATAGCGACACTATGTCGTTATGAGAGAATAAAAATAAATGATAGCGATTTCAAGTAGAGTCATGGTCTATTTGCATGCTTCCATTGATCAAAGTTTTATGAACTGAACTTCCAAAGGAATTGACGCCTTAAACTTTAAGTGAAACTTAAGTGAACTTGTTAAAGGTTATACACACAGGAATTGATAGTAGCTATTTACATCTGTATGTTTGTATATATGTAAGACAATTGAACACCAGATAGGCGGCTAACTCGTTGCTTCATGATCGTTTCTATAACTATTTTATTGACATTCTTGTCAGATGCGACACATTGATAATTTGTATTCAGTGATCCTTATGAAGAATTGAAATTAACGTTTACATAACAATGTAGCCTGTGCTTCTGTTGCATCGAAATATAATGTATAATTCATGTTACGAATGTGACTCGATGTTATAAAGCTAATAAATTTTATTATGCAGATACTATATATAATAATACTGTTCGTAGATGCTATAATAATTATCATTTCACACAGTATATATAAATTTATTAAATGACGATCCATTAAGGACCAAGCAGAGGGATAAAGCGTAAAAACGGATTCGAAAGTCTGAAAATTCAGAACTTTGAAAATTCGAAAGTCCGGTACTTTGGAATTCTGAAGATTCGATGCTGCGTTAATTTAATTTGAATCGAGTCGATATAAATTATTTCAAGTAGTTGAATCGAACCAACAAATCTAACTGCAACCAAGATGTACATATTTAATAGAAGCAGTGATTCTAGAATGACTATGTCTATACATAACTTTACACACGTGTAAGAGGAACAGTAAACGATGTATTTATCAATATTCTCAATGATATAACAGTATAACAATATGATTGGCGCCAAGGTAATTATAATAGATATTAACTTAGGTTCCACGAATACCGAAGTATGGCGAAAAGCATTAAAGTTATTTGAAGAGCTTGGTCTATTTATTTCGCCTACCCCACTTAGTTATCGATCTCGAAGTCGATCTATCCGCCAATGAGATTCAAATTACATATTGCGTAGATGTTTCCTAACCTATACCAAGTATGAGCACATGATTGAAAATATTCCGCTAGTTTTCGAACGGATTGATGTTAGTCATGGAATTGTACAAGTAACAAATTTTATCATAGCACTGTCAATATTTGTACATGGCAGCTTCTCGTTTCGTCGATTTAATACATATTTTGTTTTGGTGTAATGTTTGTTTTACATTCAGGAGGTTAGACTCGATGATTTCGTAATGGAGGAATTTATACGCTTATTTTAATTTCAACGAGATGTCTCCAATTATCATTGGATTACGCAGAAAGAATCGAAACTTTAAGATTCCAAATACTCAATTACTAGATAACGAATATTTAAACATTTATTTGTAAAAGATTGACAAATATGCAGGATGCACGTAATATGTAGAAATTCGCAAAATATTCAAAGTAAGTCGCTCATTGTAATATTTAGCGAGTAGAGCACAATTTTTATTTAGCTGTATTTAGTTCTATTTAATATTTAACGAGTGGACTATATTTTTATTTAGTTATTTTTAGTTCCATTTAAAATCTAGCGGATGGATCAAACGTGATTCCATTTAGTTCCATCTAGTCCCAAAAATATAAAATTGCACAAACATCTGCAATCTATTAATTACGATGATTTGTATATAAAATTTCTATATAAAATATAATTACTAATATTAAGGAAAATAATTTCTTTATTGAGAAAGGTTCCCTTATAATCTATTAATTGTTTCATTTCTTATTTCATTCTAGCGTTATGCAATAATTTTTTATACACCGGTTAATGAATTCCATCTGAATAGAAATTCTAAATGATAAGAAAAAGTAATAGGATTAAAATCATTCATTGATAAACAAAGACGACCTTGTATTTGAGAATGTCCTTACATTCCTACACGCTTAATAATTCAATTGTTTTGTGTAAATAACAGGAATTATTATCTACGCGTGATAACAGGTAAAAAGTTTATACGACTCATCTGTCTATGCGCG